GATTACACCCACGATTTAAATTGATATTGACATGTTGGGGTGGAATTGAAAGAAATCTATTACGTGAGCTTGTTTTGCAAGGGATGTAACAAAGCGATGTAATTTCAATTAGGGTATTAATTAATTGTTTCAGCAATTCTAGATGTAAACCAGTTACCTATTCGTGCATAAATAAAGAATATTCGCTTTGCAGGAAATTAACTACATTCATTTATAGAGGCGGACGTTTATTTCCCTCGTTTCTATATTCCGTTTCTTAATTCTCAATTAAACTGTTTTTAAACCAGCGCTTTAATCCAATTTATCAAGGGAGTAAATAGACGTAGTTAAAGCAAGTTTGTTTTGTACGACAACACGTTCCATATTAATCGTTTTGCTGCTTTAGTAATTATTGCGCCATTGAGTCCCTCATGTGTTTCATCAGAGAATCCTTAAACCCTTGCGAGGATATTCTGTGCCCCAGTGGTGCAACTCATTGTATAGCTAGATATATAGTATCCATATTGTCGTGTAAACAACGTCATGCAGACATCATTTCGGTCTAAACACCAAAAATTATGGGGGGACTCCCTATATATACGAGAGTATTTCAATTCATTAAGTATAAGCTGGTGGATTATTTACGAATAGGTAGAAAGTTGGTTTGTTGCATTTGAATTTGTGTCTCCGTGTTGTTTTTCCCTTTGCAATTTATTAGTAATTGCATAATTTTTTTATATTTGTGTATTTAATTGTAAAACGTGAGATTGTGTGTTAAAAGGTAGGGAAATCTGGTTGTTTGCGATAAGGAGTCCTTATCGGACGAATTTTTATGAACGTACGTGTTATTATTGCTGTTAGAAGAGATGTGTCTCGAAGAATTACGCGTTATTTCGGCAAAGTGGTGACATTTAGCCGCTTCCTTCTAAGCTGTGATTATCTAATCTGATTGTGACTGCCGGTGTTTTTGTAAATCTCGAAGAAGATTTGTAGTGGAAGTGGTGTTTCCTTAAATATTGGAATCAACGTAAAAACGAAGTTGCTGCAGCTGCTGCAAGTTTCGCGGCGGTTTAAGAGCGTGTAAATTTGTTTACGCCAAATGTCAGGTAATCCACCCTTGTTTTGTTGAAGACGCAGTTCCTAATCTTATTTATCAAGATCCATTTGAAGATGAAGTTTCCTGAAGCAGTCAGAGAGTGGTTTTGTGTGTTTGATAAATGTGCCCGAATATCGTTGACTTTTTACGAACAAATTATTTGAATTATTAGAGAAAAAAGCTAATAACAACGAAAGATTCAACTTATGTAGGTACTATAATTTTTTTGTCTGTAAAAATAGAGGACTATTTTTTCTTAAAGTATCGTGTTCTGGATGAGATGCAAACACTTACTTTCGAATTGAATATTTCTACCTGTCGATTAGCTGGAACTGATCTAATCCATTGGGCGCGTTCAGGCCGTATTCAACGCTTACACAGCTGTTCCCAGCGCCCAATTTCAGCCGATTAACTGACGTGAGGTGAGGTTATAAATTAAGGTAGGTATCTGCCCACTACACCGTACCGTATCATGACCGTGAACGTATCAGGCACGGAAAATATACGATACGGACTACTATGCCCACTAGATCGTATCAACACCGTATCATACCCGTGCGTAACGGTTATAGTGACCGTAGCATCCGCGTGTCGTATCCGTACGGTTCCCGTTGGCTCGGTTGTACTTGTAAACAAACGCGTCAGGAAGAGGGTGCGAAACGAAAAGTCGAGGGAGAATACTGGGCATTATTTAGACCTAGTCGATGACGAAAAAAAATGTCATATGTACTTCCGTATGTTCATCATTTCTGCGCCTGCGCGCACCGGTTTGGGACCGTCGCGTGCCATGCTCGGAGCGTATCGGCACCGTCAATATATTCATTGCGCTCCGGGCTTGGCACGTTACGGTTCTGGTCGGTGACCAAACGGTGTAGTGGGCATAGTCTCATACTATTCCATCCAAACAATATTTTTTTGCCTGGCACGTTCCTATTACGGTCATGGTATGATACGTTGTAGTGGGTAGAAACCTTTAACTGTCACGATACATGCGTGCTTTTACTCCCACTTTCCGCTTACTGTTCTAGCGGAAAGTATTTTTGCTGGAAAAAATGACGAACGCTACCATGGCGCCGCGACAGCAGTGGCCTGGCTGAACGCGCCCATTGTATCTAAGATCAAAGGATGTCTACGCGCATGTTTATCTCAAATACCGGAAATTTCAAACGTGCAGGTAACCTGTAGAGAATTACTTTTGTTGTTAGTTTATCTTGCCGTTTATCTTTACCAAATGCCATAACGAAGTTCTCTGTAATTGATATCTTGAATAGAAAAGTTGTGGATGTTTATATAACTACCTGTATTTTCTTTTATTGTCGTGCCTTTGTCGTTAGTGTTAACGCAAGGTACCTTCGGATAGTTAATGTATGTATCTTCCTGTCTATAAATTAGATAAGAGTAAGTTACCTATAGCTTCTGAGTACTCAGCTGTGCTGAAAATTTGCATTTGATTAAGTGTAACCTTGTCCAGAACTGTTCATTTATTTACTGTTTTATGCAATCAAATATCTTTTGTGCAGGTTATTTGCCAAGACAAAGTGGCCCAGAATTCACAAAGCTTGTATTCTTATTTTGTTTTTAGTTTATATATTTATTTACTTTTTGGCGAGACTGCACGCCTGGCATCCAAAAATTACACGAACTTTGTCAAACCCCGGTGGTTGTTTCGCTGGAAGACCCGTTTCACCTGGTTCGCCGCGACCAATTCCTTTTTCCTCCTCGAGGTTCGCTGCATACATTTGGCGCCCAACGTGGGGCCTCGAATTTCCTGCTATTGTCTTAGCATTGATATTTTTGAGATAGTTTGATATACTATACAGGGTGTTTGGTAAACATGCGGCAAAAATGAAAGAGGTTATTCCTTGGACTATTCTAATGTTATTTTATCCTTTGATGATTTTTGAAAAAACGCTTCGTTGCGAAGATACATGTGTAATTTCTGCCCTTATTACTTAAACGGTTGTTTGTGAAATCCTCTATCATGGCTCATTATTCGAATGCGTTTTTTCAAAAATCATCAAAGGATAAAATATCATTAGAATAGTCCAAGGAATAACCTCTTTCATTTTTGCTGCATGTTTACCAAACACCCTGTATAATATAAGTAAAATAAATCTAAAGAGAAGGATAATAAATAAATAAATAAATAATGGAGCCGAATCATTTAATTTATTGTAATACAGTTCTTAGTCATATTTTTCCATTCTTAAACAACATTTAACATTTTCTGACTCTTCTCAATATACATTTATCTGACCTTTTGTTGCTGTTATTTAGCTGAACAGCGAAAAAGCAGCGAAACCATTTGTAGCAATCTTTCAGATTAAAGGAAAAGATATCTCTCATGTAACCCAGGGGATTATTGGGAGGTTACGTTTTGGCAAAGAATAATAGGGGCTAGCCGACAACATTTGAGAAATTTTTTAATGATACAGTTTTCTTGTTGCAATTTCCAGTTTTATAAAAACAAAGAAAATTTTTAAAATTATTTACAAGAAAACCTCCGCTGCAAAATTTCACCCAATAGTGAGGTTTGAGCGTAGGGTCCGCTGCATGTGTCCCTGCGACAAAGTGTCCCGGCGTCAACAGAGTCGCGTCAAAATGTTCTATACATAGCTGTCATCTTTAATCGTTTATATTAATGTGCATATTGTATAATCAATTTTGTACTTGTATTGATTTATTTTCATCTTTTAATGAATACAAATTTACTTTACGGAACAATATACAATTGTAAAATCAGTTAAACACATTTAGGTACCTATCTCATTTACTTACTATTTACTAACTAAGATTTCTTGCACTTTTTTTTAAGCATTATTATAAGTTTGTATTTTCATTTTGTTTATTCTTTGAAATTTCCTATAATATATAATAGGCTTTGCTGTTGGAAATAAATTATTATTATTATTATTTTGTTTGATCTTATTTTTACCTAAAATTATAAATTGTTTGCAATTTATATTATTAGTTTATATTTATTTAAAATTTTAAACTGTTTTTAGGTGTGTATTGTTCTTTTCTATCTATACTGTCTCTTAATTTATTTATCTAGTATATTTACTGACGTGTCAAAACCTAATATTATGATACCACGCACAGACAAAAATAATGATTGAATATATAGCATAATTTGCCGGGTTTGTTTTTGCCTCTTTATTACCCGCATTCAGATATCTAAAAAAACAAATAAGCTTCAGTTTCAAAATCACGGAGATAAGAGAGAAGAAATTTCTCTCGTCAATCAATAGATATAAAATTTAATAGAGCGAGCCGTGGACTCAAATAATTTTTTATAGAGAAACAGTCATTTAAAAAATTGAAAGTTCAGATTATTCATATAAAGGAAGGGATGAATCAAACCATTAAGATTAGGGAATATAGACTATTTGAATAGCATCTATTAAGTATCTGTTATTTTCTTGCAACAGTTATCTCTATCATGATTGGCCTCTGATCGGCGCAATTGTGACGTGGAAACTGTTCTTTATAAATGTCTGTCTACGGGCTGGTTCGTAACATAGAGTATCGTACTATCTGCACGTACTAGAAACGAATTAATATTAAACACTTTTTCGGAATTTACCAGAAGTAAACAGTACGTAACATGAGGCGACCTAAAAAACTACGGAACAGAAACGCAAGTATATATTTTTTACGTCCCAAAATACATATTAAAAGATGGAAAGTAAATAATTAGATATAGTTCTCATTTTACTACTCAATTGACCGAATTTAGCCAATGGAGGCATATTGCATAAAATATAACCTTCTTTGTGTAGTATGTATAAAGTGAATAAATATACAAAGCATCATTACACAATGGCACAAAATTGGTATTCAGACCCTTTTATGAATACAATCTTAAAAAATAGGTTTAAAAATATACTATACTATCCTACAAGCTAAAGAGAATCATACTTACGTGTCACAAAAGGTTATACAACCGGTAAATTTTACGATAATGGAAACCGCCCACGCCGTAACAATGGATGGTCTTTTCTGAAACAAAAAAGAAACACGTGAACTAATTTGAAGTATTATTATCACAAGGTAATCGCTAGTTTAGATCGCCAGAATTTACAATGTTTTCCATTCCAAGAAAGTACCTAGTTAGTTAAGGAATAGTTAGGTACATAGGTATATATCATTAATTAAATGAAGGAATCGCTATGAATTAAGCTCATTCCGTAAATTCCTTGTGCTCTAATTGTATGATTGAAAGACGTATGATCTATTTCACGTTATTGACCTACAAGTACATATATGAACCTCGTATCCTCATTAAGTTATGATGTGAAACAATAAGTTATAGGCAATCACATGATAGATATTCATGATCGTTTAACCGTGTATTAAACTAGCAGTGTAACAACGTTGATCAAAATTAGTAGAGCAAATTCTTGGCCTAAAATAGCGTTATTTACATAATAAGTCATGAAAGTGGTCGTTTACATGACGCGGAGGCTTATTGAAAAGTACGAGGACGCGTAGCGTCCGAGTATCTCTTTAATGCCTCCAAGTCAGGTAGACTCACTTTCATGACATATTATGTATAAAATTTTACCTGAAACCGCAACATGTAGAAAACTTTTCCAAATTAAATTATTCATGTGTGAAATTTTGATACCTAATCACGCATGCTAAAATCACTTTATTTAATTGTTTCCATAGAGATTTCAAAATAATTAAAACAGTCAGTGTCATTTTTAACGCAGTTTTCAGTTTATACTTTGTACTTTTCAACTATACAGTCTTTATAACTAGGTACAAAAGCAGGTATCAGTGAAGAAGAGTACCTATGCAAGACGTTGTTATAATGTAGCCGAAGCTGCGGCCGCTGTAGTGAAATATTCGCTCCCCACAAAGTCAAAAAAAAGGTACGAAAAGGCGTAGAAACCTTTTAATGACTGGCGCAAAACTAAAGGAATAATTACTTCCACACATATTCCATTAATTGTTCGTAATAAAAAACCATTATCCTTTGTGTAGGTATATTAATATTTAAAAATATCCACATAGTCTGCATTATAATTATCCAATCGTTGATTGAATAACTTATTCAATGAATGATCTAATTGTTATTTTGCATGTACTAGGACTGTAATGGGCGTCAGGCAAAAATATTACAGTACTAGTCAGGTAAAGATCAACTTTCTAATGTCAAAATAGCCCTGAAATTTAGATTTTCTTGACGGTTTCAGGTAAAAATTATATGACATACTTAATGTATACCTAACTCAAAGAATTTGGTATGTAAATTTCGTTATTGATCGTAACACCGTTGACTTTACCTTTTAGAGCTTCATGCAACACATTTTTACACTTTTTTGTTTATTTCGCACAGCCAATTGAATTGTCTTGCTGCTTGAAAGGGACGATATGTTGAAATGTTGAGCTACCTAGTAGAGAATCCGAACTAGTAACGACCTAGTTCGGATCTTACACTAACCAAAAATGCCAAAAATGTCAGCCCACCATTTCGTTGCGTAAATCGTCAAACGACCTTAATTTCATCTTAGTGGAATCCGAGGTGGAATCATTCTGTGGCTTGACCCTGAACAAATTGCAAAAGAATTAATTGAAGCAGTTTCTGAATGAAAAGAATGTGCTGAAAACGATGGAATAAAGTTTACCAATGTTTGAAGCCCGGAAATGCTTTCACCGGTAAGTGACAACCCGGAAATAAATAGTTTTTAGCACATAACTAAGTCACAATTGCTTTTAGGAAACAAATTTTTCAATGCAAATTTAAAGAGCATCAAAATCCCTACAAAAATGTACACATTTTTTTGTTGGAGCAGTGGTTTAAGCGCAATGCGTGTATTTATAATTGCGAAATAAACTGCACCAATATAGACAACGAGCGACAAGGTCACTTCCGGCTTCACAAGTATTGACCAAAATTTAATCAGTTAGTCCTTACTGAAAACAGAATTGGAAAATTCGAAACCGTTCGCGGGTTATGATGTACACAGATGGACGAACCGACGAACGGACGGACGGATAGAAAGCCCAAAATAATGAACTCGCTTTTTGTTGCTCGTAAATAAGCTTCAAGACACATAAGAAATATTATAAATCTCGTGTAACGAACAAATTCTTTCACTGCAGAATTGAAATCGCCCTGTATTTTACAACGTAGTTACATAGTTTACAACAATAGTCTTAATGTACGTCAGAAATGCAGTATTGATTACCGTATCCCCGGTGCCGACGCACAGACGGCAGGAAACGGAATGATTCGCCTATATATTTCACTTCTTCCCAATCGAAAGTGAGATCAAGCTCTGGAGAATTTGAACAACCAACTCCTCGACATTTTGCGCACGCAGTATTGCAATCTAGGCCCAGCTTGCGGCAACAACATCTCATTGTATGGCAACCAGTTTTAGATTTACATACATCTTATAAGTTCTAACAATTCTTATAGGGCAGGAAGAATGTCTGTCTTTATGGGAAGCATTTTTCCGTTTATCAATCCCCAACCCCCTTATAAAGGATCCTGTTTGTTTCCTTTCCATTCTTGGATTTTGTGATACATTCGAAGGCTGTGGAGCAACTGATGTTGGAGGTCACTTCTCCAGCATTACGAACGACGTGTTCGCATAAACCTTTTCGGAAATTAATTTAGTCCTCAACTGATCTAAACTTTCAGTTGCTTTTCACTTACAAGTTGCTATTAGTTCCTTCTCTCCGACTGATTTGGTGTTGTTTTGTGTAGCTTTTTGGTTCAGGAATACCTCTGGTTGATTTTTGAAGTTGTTTTGTTGCAATAACTTCACTGCTACTTCTTCGAAATTTGTCATAAGAAACGTTTTGGAGTAAACTTGGCCTAATTTTTTGTTTGAAGCTAAGTGTTATAAATATTATACATATATTGCGCGTAAACCAATGCTCTAACAAAAAATGTAATATACTTATACATTTTTGTAGGGATTTCGATGCTCTTTAATTTCGCATAAAACAATTTTTCTCCAATTTTGACTTAGTTATGAGCCAAAAACCATTTATTTCCGGGTTAATGCATTTCCGGGCGTCAAACATTGGTAAACTTTATTCCATCGTGTTCAGCACATTTTTTTCATCCAGAAACCGCTTAAATCAATTCTTTTGCAATTTGTTCTCGGTTACATGATTTTTTAACATAAACTGACTGCTATTCTCAATAGCCGAAATTTATAGTCACATACGCGTTATGACTTATGAGTAGTGCAGTTTACCCACAATGCGATAAGAGGCTAGTTTCCGAAGAATGAGCAAAAAAATGTAATCAAAACGCGTTGTGCGTACCCACAACCCGAAACCAGTACTTATGCGCTCTTGTTTCGGGTTGTGGGGGTATGTTGGTTTACTCACTTCGCATTGCGTGTAATTAGAATTAGCCACTTTTTTTAATGTAAATAAAAATTTATAAAGTTATGACATTATGTATTACGCAACGTGACATGGGCATACAGAGACACCCACAATGCGAAACAGGAGCACATGGGATATGGCTTCGCATTGTGGGTGAATAAATATGCCCAGAACGCGTTTTGGTTAAATTGTTGTGCCCATTGTCGGAAAAATAAACTCTGTTCGCATTCTGAGCAAACCGCAGTGCTCACAACGCGTATGGTTATAAATTTCGGGCATTGTCCGATTTCGACTATTGAGAATAACAACTCCACTGTCTGGTTTATTTGCGTAATTGAAGTTCGAATTGCTTTCGCATCCATTATATTCTCCAGATCTGGCGCGCAGTAATGGCTGCTACAAACGACCATTACATTTTTGAGGCAAAGAGATATTATTGTATAGAAAAGTTGGACACAGCGTGTCGCTCTAAGAATAAAAAAAATGGTAAACCAAATATTTCATTTGTTTTCCTAAAGAATCTCTTCACCGGTGTGTCTGTACAAAGTCAGTTTGCTGGTTCAGGAGTTGAATCACACTGATATTTAACTTCTGCAACAAGGTGATTGGAAGATTTTTGTCTTTAAACATTTTATTCTTGGATGAGGCACATTTGATCATGTTAAAACAAGCAAAACGGGATACTGGAGTTTAGACCCGGTGGTAGATGCTAGATGCTACCCCATTTAGAGAACAATCGAAAGCAACTTATGGACCTAAACAATTATGCATAACAATGTCTCATTGAAGTCCTCCGCTCTGCAAATCAATATCTCGAACCGTTTAACAGAAGAGCCTTTATAACTTTATAACAACCCTGTACCTATATGACTAAACTTTTTACCTCGACTTCGATAGTAGTTTTAGGTTTGACACTGCGTCGTTACAAGGGCTTCACAACCAACATCTGTAACCTTTCCATGCCTTGAAAGGACAAATTTAATCCGAAAGAAAGAACGCAAACACACCTTCACACAATGTACTCGTAATATTGCTTATTGGACATTTTCCAAGAGAACTCAAGCCTTCTCTGTTAGGTACGGTTTATAAATACCTATAAATTTTCGATATTCTCACTCTACAAGTAAGTAGGCACAATGTGAGGTATTTAGGGACTGCTAGAAACGTACGTGTACAACGATTGAAGACATCAATCGGTCATCGCAAGGTATTAATGATTTACCTGTCAGTTCCTTACCAAATGATTCGACACTGGTTCTAATGGTCGGATGTTCCTGTCCTATCAAATCAATAATTTATTGTCACATACGCATAATAACAAACGGAACACCGAACGGGCGAAAATCTATAATTAATTTGACAATCTGATGAATGTAGGAAATCAATATGGTAGACTGTAGAGCCTTAAAAGCACGTTTTCCCCGAGTAGGTCGCTGTCAAGAAAGATACGCGCACTATTTTTCGTACGACTTCCACTAAAAGATCAAATGATATTATGTAATTCATATATGTACATGCACTTACAGAGTGAATAATGCGTTTTGTTTTTAGTAGGTGAAAGGTGACAGCAAACCAGAAAGTATGTGTGCATTTTCTGCGGTATTTATCAAAAAGTAAACTCAAGCTTACTTTGTTAAAACGTATCACTTTCAAAGTGTCCTACGAAAACTTATTATCATATCAGCTGGTCAATAGTGTACAAGTTAAAAGTTGAAATATTTTTTTAGTTATGCAAGTAAACTATAAGGCGGCGTCTGTTACGAAGAGACGGATGGTAATAAAATTTACCCAATCATGGTGAGAAAGTGTTTACTCGTAATTTAATGCTATTTGGAATGACAGAAGGGAACGCAGCGTAGAAGAGCCTGTATAATTAAGCATTGATTATAATTGCATGTTTTGTAGTTAATTGGATAATGCAACGAAAATTACCTACTTGTTAGGCTTTCCGGGGAGCTATTAATTTTCCTTAAATTGGACATAATTTATTTCTTCAAAAGGTCCATAATTTATATATATTTACCACTAATTGCATAAAAATGTCAGCGTAGTCACTTCATCCTTTAAAGTTTAAAGCTTCATCTTAAAGTACTTTTAGACCGTAGCAAACGCATTAATTTATATTAATGGAATGTAGCATTTAACAAATAAAGCTGCAGTGTAGCTTCACCCTTACGAGAAAAGCGCATTAGGTGCTTTGCTTCTAGACACCGTTGAAACTAATAACCTAACATTTTCCAACCTTACATCGGATTTAAAATTGCTGTCTTCCGAACCCAATTCGGTTGAAATGTGTATACCTCGGCACCTTGGACATTTTGGATATTGCATATTACTGCATTATGTTGAGGCTTCTATCTATGAAATCAATCAGAAATGAACTTTTCAGAACACTCTACTGTCAATATTTCGCTCCATATACCTACAAGCGGACGGACCGACGCGAAGGACAAAAGCATAGTTACATTTGCCAGTTATCTTGTATTTTTGCTCCTGAGTTCGTGCTAACATTTGTTAATATCTCGTGGAAAGAATGCGAGCTTGAATTGGTACTGCTCTTAAGCATTCAGGATTTTGATTCACGCTGTACCGTTAACTTTCTTCTATAACAAGAACTTTACGATTATAAAGACTGACTGTCCTTCCAATAATGTGCTCAAATAACGGCAAATCTGCCAATCACCAAAACAATATGCTGGCTATGATTCAACGTCCACCAAAGAAACAAAACAGCGATTAACGTCCACCACCAAACAAGCCACGATTAACGACCGTCTCGTCTACTTAAAACAATTTCCCATCCCGCCCCACTTCCAAGCTTAAAACTAATTAGCCTACTCAGTGGTAAGGTTCTTATCGCAATGACCGGAGATAATATTTTTACAAAAAAATAGACTTAATCTTTTAACACGTAATTTCTTTACAATTAAATAAACAAATTACAAGAAATTATTTAAGCAAAAAATTTAAAAAATAATTCTAAATAAAATCAACAATGACTTCAAATTCGAGCAACATGATCGAAATCGTGTATTAGCGACCAACCATGAAATATACATAATCAAGCAAGGAATGTATTAGAAATTCTTACTAGTCGTTTCTATAATGCAACTATGCTCTTCGATATTCAAAAATAACTTTATTTTAAAATTGACTCACAAATCGTTCGCTGCAAAACGTTCTCGGCGAAACCTGGCAGAACAATAACACCATTTTAGGTGTTGTTGGGCAGAAACGTTTAACTACCAAAATTGATTAAAATTTCATTCATATGGATTAAGTGGTAATGGCTTATCTGACAGTTCTTTCTGTTTTTATTGTAATTTTGTAACGTGTGTTTTACTGTTCAGGTCGCACGGTTCATCACAGAATAAGAGATTACGGCTTGCAATCCTATTGGCCCCATCTTGTGTTACCATTAACGATTGAACACCACCAGCAGCGTTTGGAATAGTGTAGGGTATTACTGCAGTGGAACATAGAGTGGCATAGGGTGGTACTCAGTGATGAATTTCTATTCTGTTTGCGTATGTACGATGGCCGTATGAGGACCAGACGAGACGTGTGGAACGTCGCAATGTTGAATTTTATTTTGCGAGGTATGTCCAGGTGCACCAAACTGTGGGGATTATCATATAGGGTGCTATAACTTATGGGAGTAGGTCTGGTTTGCTATTCATCCGAGGCAATATGAACGCCCAGAAATATGCAGATGACGTGATAGAATATATTCTTCCATTTCTTCAGCAATCGAAAAACCCACTTTGCCAGCAAAACAATGCCTTTCCGCACATTCCAAGACGTTCTATGGACCGATTTGCACAGGATAATGTCAATCTCATGGCCACCTAGATCTCCCGCTATATCGCCCATCGAGCATGTTTGGGAACATTATGAGGAGAGAAGACTGAGGAACTTACCAGTTACCACGTCCTCGGCAGACGCTGTGTAGAACGAATTACAGGTTGATTATGACGCAATAACTCAAGAGGAAATCGACCGTATGCTAGAATAGATGCCACGAAGAGTGAGGGAGTGTGTACTGTGTAACCCATAGGAGGGAACCAGCCTATTGATAATAAAAATTGTTGTATTACGTTCTTGTTCTTTTAAATTTTAATCAATTACTGCCTTTTAGTAGTTAAACGTTTCTTCCAAGTTTTGTCAAAAATTCCCACTCCTTGGTGTCGCGATTTCCATGTCACTGTGAGTATAGTACAAGTTTTTTTACATGTAAGTATTTCACGATGAAATACGTGCAAAATAGATGTAGAAATTTGATTGTCGTAAAAGGGCAGTTACCTACATTCGCGAATCCTACTTAAAAAAAGCGTGATCGGTTTGTGTATTATGTAGGTATATCTACAATAAGTATACTAAATTTGATAAGATACGCAATAAGAACATTGCACCTATAAATTAGCTTAGTCAATATTCTAGATTATTCTGTGTTATCAGTCGTTCATATATCCGAACAGAGAACGTGTTTACTTTTTACTACCTAGGTATATCTACCTACTATTACCTATTTCATCATTAATTCTCAGATCGTGGAAACAAAAACGTGCGTTTTAAAACAATTAGTGACAGCTATACGTAATCGACTCCAAGAGAAAGGTTGGTAGGTGTTTTTGTTTGTTTGATAAGTACCTCCCTATATAATATACTTATCAATTTTTTTTAATTAAGGGTGTTTGTGATTTTTTGGTATTTAGGTACAGACGCCTTCAAATGGGCCGTGGCCATGGTTCCTAACTGCTAATCAGAGACGGGATTTGGTCGTAATAAGGATCGGTCGAGGGGTAAACCGCAACCCAAATTTTGTACACTGATTTCCTATAAATATTAGATTTCCTCTGAGTTCCTTCGAGTTCTTCAGAGTTCATTTGATTTCTTCGGAGTTTCCCTGATTTCCTCCGAGTTCCTCCAACTTCCACGAAATACCTCTGATTTCCTTGGAGTTCCCTCGATTTTCTTTTGGAGTTCCTGTGAGTTCCTCTGATTTTTTAAAGTTTTTTTAATTATTTCATTGTTATTCCGTTGATTTAACAATTTCCTGGTAAGTAAAACCCGAGGTAAAACCATAAAAAAAATATAAAAGTGTCAAGTGTCAAGTTAAAAAGTAATCGTAAACGATTTACATAAAGCGCATTTCCACTTGCATTCATTTCCCATTTGTAAGATGCAACTTCTGTTAAAATCGTAAAAATCCGGCCACAAATATGAAAGATAGCGTTGCACATGGGCAATCCATTGTTGACGTGCTACTTCAATTTCAGTTTATAGAAGAATTTCATTTCAATGCTTTTCTAAATAAGAAAGTTGGAACTGCGCATGCGCAAACCTAAATTTTAAAACTAATTTACTATAACTAACTAATAAACTAGATTTTCCTTTGTTCCAAGCGCCTAAGTATCAAATTTCACTTAAATAGTTCCATAGATAAAAAAGTTGGCACTGCGCATGCGCAAAACCAAATTTTGAAACTGGCGTTTGATTTTCCTTTATCCCAAGTGCCTATGTATCACATTTCATTTAAATTCTTCCATAAATAAAAAAGTTGGCACTGCGCATGCGCAAAACCAAATTTTGAAATTGGCGTTTGATTTTCCTTTATTCGAAGTGCCTATGTATCAAATTTCGTTTAAATTCTTCCATAAATAAAAAAGTTGGCACTGCGCATGCGCAAAACCAAATTTTGAAATTGTTTGCAATGATTTCGTTTAAATTTCCATAAATAAAAAAGTTGGCACTGCGCATGCGCAAAACCAAATTTTGAAATTGGCGTGATTTTCCTTTATTCCAAGTGCCTATGTATCAAATTTCATTCAAATACTTTTATAAGTAAAAAAGTTTGCAATTCGGTTTATAAATGGTCGAAATGCGAAAAGGGCACTGTGAATTTTGAATCGATTCGATTCAACTTTTGGCATTGCGTATTATATGGCTAAATCTATGCCCATATTGAATTTCATGCAATTCAGTTCATAACTCACGGAGATGTAAAAGCGATCGAACATTTCTAAACAAAGTTATCGTTCACACGGACAGATAGATGGACAGACAGACAAAGGAACAGACGGAGAGACCAACCGGCAGGCGACAGATAGCAATGCAAAATTATAAACGATCTCTAGGATCGTTAATAAACGGCAAAAGGGTAAAATTATGGAACATGTAAAAAACGGTTTTTTGTTTTTTTTTACAATAACTTTTTTTGTAAGCGGTACAGAAATACAAGACTCGACACTATAACGAACCAAATACCGAAAAAAGTAGAACAATAGCTCTTAAGATAAAGAACTAGTAGCGTCGCAAAGTTAGCGGACGGACGGACGGACGGACGGATAAAGACACGACCTTAGACGAAACACTATTTTATATTTTAATAGACCTATTTGCAATGAGAAAAACTCATTATTAAATGAGAAAAACACCATAAACAAATAAAAAATTAGTTAAGACCAAATTAAATAATAAAATGCAGCACGAGTTCCGTTGATTTCTTTAGAGTTCCCTTGATTTCCTCGGAGTTCCTGTGATTTCCTTGGAATTCCTCCTGAATACACATGGAATTCCTTGGAATTCTTAGCTTTCCTAGGAGTTCCTCCGGAATTCCTATGATTTCCCATAGATTTCCTCAAACGTGTACACTGATTTCCCATCGCGGTTTAGCCCTCGGGATCGGTTATTGGGTCTAAAGCATTAGAGAGTACCTAATCCACAATTTCCAAACCAAAGAGACACGACTGGATACAGACTTCTATCAAAGTAAGAAATATTCATTTTTGTGCATTTTATTGATAGGGCACCGACATTTTGAATCTTTTGTACAATTTAAGTCAAGTCATCTTAAGTCAGCTAAATTTCTTAACAATTTCCGCAGGAAATAGATAAACGTCTACGCAGGTATACATTTTTCGACAAACGGTTATACCTATAAGGTGCAAATGCAATAGAAATGCATACAATGGAAAAGGGATACAATAGTATATTGAAAGACAAGTGTTACAATGCGACCTATTGTAATACGACTATCTTGTGGCACGAGTGGCTACGCTTCGTGTCCGCAAGATAGGAGTATTACAATAAAGCATTGTAACACGCGTTTTTCATACTATTTTTTCTATTTCGGTGCTTTAATTTAATTAAAAAAATCATTATCAGAAACTATAGGGAACATTAGAACTAACATGTTTTATGTTGGGAACACTTTTTATGCCGTTAAGTTTTAGGTTGGCAACGTAGTAAGACTGACATTTTGAAGTTTAAACATGGAAGTACCCAACGAAGTACCTACCTACTTGTACTAACTAGTAACTGCCAACTTAAGAGATGAGTTACCAAAAAAAAACGACTACCTATAATCACTGTCTTTGTACAACGAAAACAGTTGTACAAAATCATCATTGTGACACCGAAATAGAAAAACATTATTTATTATTATTATGTGTGGTTGCTTGGGTTAAGGTGGCGTTTACAAAAAGTGCAAAAGTTGCATTGCGATTTCCTCAATAACTTTGTTTCGAGGTAAAAAAATAAACTTCTGTTAACAACCGATGGTTGCTAAGGGTTTAAGCTTATGAATGAAGTTAAATTTGATAACAAATTATTATCAGTGTGTGATAGAAATGAAAGATATATATTTTATATGGGAGTTTTTTAACAACTTATTTTCTAAATAACGGCGCAAGTGCAGGAATTAGCTAAATAATTTTTGTTTCATGCAAATGTCGGAACATTATACAGGGTGATTCCTATAGTACCTGCCACCGTTTGGGAGCGTGTAGGTGGTGCGTAGGGGAGTATTTTGATATAGGACACTTGGGGTCGGAAATCTAAAATAAGGGTGCCAGAGCGAAATTTACCTTCTGGAATTTCGCGCCTGTAGGTAGGCAACCCAACCGGCCGGCGGTGCACACGGAGCGATCTCAGGCGGCGATGTGTGGCTGACACTTGATCAGAATTTTGTTTAAACCCACGAAATCCCGTCTGCAACGACGCGTATCAGGTGAATAAACACTATGGCAATAGTATAATAATAGTTGGCTAGATGTAGGAAGTGCATTGAGAACAACGGTGGCCACGTTGAACACTTGTAAACGTTATTGCTTTTGACTGTCGTTTTCCCTCCTCCCTCCCATGTCGCTTCCTCGCGCTAACTCGCTCTGCATCGCTCCGCGCGAAACGTCGGTCGGTTGGGTTGCCTACATACAGGCGTGAAATTCCAGAAGATAAATTTGGTTCTGGCGCCTTTATTTTAGATTTCCGACCCCAAGTGTCCTATATCAAAATACTCCCCTAGGCACCCCCTATACGCTCCCAAACGGTGGCAGGTACTATAGGAATCACCCTGTATATTTGAATGAATGCTATTTCAACCAAAAATTTGTACCCAGAAGGCAGTTATTGTGGAAAGAAATTTCCAATTTTTCAATGTAACCGCCACCTTAAAGCTGGAGATACTACAATATGTTGTGAATCAGAAGTGCTGTTTAGGTTTTTGCGTTTGGGTTGAATACGAATGGGTTGTGATAATGTGGTTTGTTTCAGAGTGGAAGGCTTTTTGTGCCGTTTACTTGTGCTAAGACGTGTAACTTTAATGGGTAAATCCTAGGGTGAATCTCTGATTGTAGTATATGTTGTATCATTAATTGTTGTACTTGTTTGTTCGATAAGTTGTATTTTTGTGTGTTTGTTTTGGTTAGGGGTGGAGATATTACAGTATGTTGTGTACCGTGTTGTGAGCCAGTACTGTTGTTTGCATGTATACCTTATGGATCATGTGTGTGACATGTTTAGGAATTACGAACAATATTGCATGTGTTGATAATGACTGCTTTTTGTAAATGTTTGTATGTGTTTTTATCTAAACCTAATAGTTGTAAATTGAGGTGTATTGTCTTTGGTATAACTCCGTTAGCACCAAGAATAATGGGAACTATAACAGTAGATTTCATTCTCCATTGCGCCTTAAGCTCGATAGCTATATCGGTGTATTTGCGGTGTTTTTCTGCATGTGTTTTAGTTAAGTTGTTAGTGTTGGGTATGGCAATGTCTATAATACAAATGGATTTTTGTGTTTTATCTATAAGTGTAATATCTGGTCTATTATTGTGGATAGTTTTGTCTGTGAGTAGTCTCCTGTCCCAATATAATTTGTGTGTGTTGTTTTCAAGTATAATCTGTGGCGTGTATTTGTAGTATGGTGTCTTATCTGTTTTGAGATTGTGTTTAAGTGCTAATTTTTGATGTATGATTTTAGCTACCTGATCGTGTCGATGTTTGTATTCAGTTTGTGCAAGTCGTGTGCATGCCGATATTATATGTTGGATTGTTTCTGATGTTTGTGAACAGAGTCGACAAGAATCGTTTGTCACTGTTTTGTCTTTAGGTATGTATGTGTTTTTTATAGTTGCGTGTATTAATGACCAGGTCTTGTATTGCTCAGTCTCTGGGAAGATATCACAATCAGACAACCAAGTGTGCGTTGTTATAGAATCAACACAATCCTGATTAACCTCTTGTGGAAATCGTCCATGTAAAAGCTTTTTGTTCCATGTCTGTATGTTATTTGTAATGTATGTAAGTTTGGATGTGGGTGGGAGTATACCTATTAGTTTCGTGTAGGTTAAGTGGTGTGTAAGATTTGTCTGCATATGTTACTGTTTTGTGTAGGACTGAAGTATCTGATTTGTTATAAAAGTATTGTCGTAAATTGTGTATTTGTGTTTGGTGCAATAGTTTTATATCTGTAAGTCCTCTACCTCCTTCCGAACGAGGAAGGTAAAGTCGTATAGTAGAGGAGTGAGGGTGATGTATATGGTGTTTTGTTAATAGTGTACGGTTGTTTCTCTGTATTTATTCTAAATCTGTATTTGTCCAACGTATAATCCCAAAAGAGTATGTATATGTATAAGTACTGGTGTGGTATAAGTGTTAATAGCTGTGATTGTATTTCTACCGTGTAATTTTGTTGCGTATTCTTTGTAGATATTGTGTGGTAAGTGTTTGTTTTATACTCGTATGTTTAATGTGTGTGTTTTGCTGAAAACCAAGATACTTATAAGTTTCATTCTCGTTCATGGAATTTATTAAATTGCCCTGCTCGAGCTTATAATCTAAAAGTTGTTATTTACCAGCTGTGATGTGTTGTGTTTTACATTTATCGATTCCAAAGTCCATTTGTATGTCACGTGAAAATGTTTCGGTGATGTGTAGAAGTTGATTGAGTTTTATGCTTGTGGAAGAGTATAATTTAAGATCGTCCATGTAAGACAGGTGTGTAATGTTGTGATGTATTTCGTGGTTTTGTTTAATATTCTACCCAAAGTTAATAGTGTTTAACAAATATGAAAGTGGATTAAGAGCAAGACAAAACCAGAGCGGACTTAAAGAATCGCCTTGAAAAATTCCTCTTTTAATTTGTATTGGGTCAGTAATAAGTATAGTGTCGTTTAGTGTAAGTGTTAACTTAGTGTTCCAACATGACATTATGTAATTGAGGAATTGTGTAATTAGTTGAGTAAAATTAGACTTCAACCTAGAACAAATTTGGGACAAGCAAGCGATGCCCGAAATTAGTAGTACCAATAATGTTCTTTAACATACTAAAAGTCCCCATATCTCCGAGGTGCGGAACATCCTGAAAATTGAGCCGCCATCTTGGATTTTCATGTTTTTTGCTTGTCAGGAAAGGGAATGTGTGAAGCTTTAAAATACAAATCCAATCCTTCTTCATTTCTCGAAATCGATTGAAAACTAAGGGAGTTATGATTTTTTTATTGTATCAATAATCGTACTATAGGTACAGCATTCGCTGTGTATACTATACGACAGTGCAACACTCCCCCCTCTCCCAGACATGAGCAGAGATATGTGTGATACCCCCCCTACCCTTACTCCCCTCCTGTCCTCACCCCCCTCCCCGCCCATCTGCCCTCGCTTCATCCTCCTTTTCTGGTATAGTTGATCTAAACTAATTAAAAAACTAAACATGATTAACGTATATTTATTTTCAATGGACAATTTAGGGTAAAGGTTCAGCATCATCACTTTCTGGGTCTAAGCTGTTGCCGCAAAAAATGCCAGTACAATTCCTGCAACATGCAGTGCATTTGAGCCCCGACTTCCTACCGCTACAAGAATTAGAACACGTTTCTTTGCAACCGCAAAACAGCATTTTCAAAATGACATCCAGTCCACAGGGTTTTTCCATTCTTACGGGCTCCAAGACATTGTTTTGATTCGTAAACCAGCCAATGTCTTTAGGGTTCAATTCCTCACCCATCCAATTCTGGACCTGTAGATACACCCGTCTCAAATGTAATCTAGCAGCATGCGATGTAGGAGGTAATGTTGCTAGCTCGAAATTGGTAAAGAGATTCTGCCTTGCCACGACTTGGTTGTACTTGATGTACCGGTAGTCATCGAGCGTTTTGCATGTTTTGGCATCGTACCACTTCAATATAAATGCTTCTCCTTGTTTGAGAAGCTCATCCATAGGCGCTTTCACATCATTGAATATCAATATCGACTTTGATAGAGTCTCATCTTTTTGTAAAGTAGTTAAAGCGCTAGTCTTGACTTTTTTATAGAAAGCCGAAGTTGTGTCGCACCCTGATACCGCATGTACAAATAGAATATTGTGACACACTTTGTCACCCAGCGCAGTCTGCAGTTTTCTTATATTTGTCAATTTACGAAGCTTGACACATCATCCGATTCAAATTTATATAAAATATGTATCCCAGACCACGAGATCTACAGCTTTTTAATCAGTTCGTTCGACTCAAGTTCTGCTTGTCGCTTTCCTGGACCACTTTATTGATGATGATTGTAAAAGTAACATTCGGTAGTTATTTGAAAATATTGCCCCAGGAGGGGGCGGTAAACTAAAATTTGGGCTGAAAATTGTTGAATCGATAAAGAATAATTAGTCTTTGGTCTATAAAGTTCCAATGAATTTCGCCTACCTATCGGATAAATCGAATTATTCTCGAAGTTATTCGTGTATAGTGCGATTAGTTACCCATAGTTTCCAATCGATTTCGAGAAATAAAGAAGCATTGGATTCGTATTTTAAAGCTTCACAAATTCCCTTTCCTAACTTTTTCCGAAAAAAATAATAATAACAAAGTTATTAGCAAAAAACATGAAAATCCAAGATGGCGGCTCAATTTTCAGGATGTTCCGCACCTCGGACATATGGGGACTTTTAGTATGTTAAAGAGCATTATTGGTACTACTAATTGCGGGCATCGGTTGCTTGTCCCGAATTTGTTCTAGGTTTGAACAAATATTACTCTAATTTTACTCGACTAAATATTGTTGCTGACTTAGTATATTGAGAGTACTTGTTGTAACCAAGGGTGTGGTACTGAATCGAACGCTTTTTTGTAATCAATGTATGCAGTGTGTATGTTTCGTTTGTTATGTCTGGATTATATTACAGAGTCTATAATGAATTGCTCTGTACACTTTGGAACACTTGGTACACCCTTTTTGTTCTTCGTATAAAATATATACAGGGTGTTTTTTGGGAGCTTTAGTTAAACGTTTCTGGGAAAGTAAAATAGGTAGGTTTTTTGAAAATTTGTACTTAGGTTGTAGTCATGGCAACCCATTTTTATCAGTGCATAGAGAATGAATAGGGCTTTCCTTCTTCTGTACTTAAAAAAAAGTTAAGTTGCGTACGACCCCCCCTATGGAGATCCAAATTTATGAAACTTCAAAGACTAAAACTCAGTTTTTTAAATGGAATGACCATTTTCTTACTATTGCATGAGATAAAGAATTGAAATTGGCATATTTTGATAATACATATTCTTATAGCTATCTTTAACAGTTTTTGACTTATTCCCATTTTATTAAATTGGCACTATTTTTTTCGGATTTTCTTTTTAGTAGTCGGCCATGATTTTATAACAATCGAATTTTAAGCAAATCTAGTGACACTAATCCGTCACCTAACTTAAGTTTTTCAAAAATAGAAAAATGACTCGCAGTGGTTTCACCTATTTCGGAAGTTAATTTGTTATTTATGGTGAAATGGACAGAATCGCGTGCCGTACAACACTGGAACGAAATTGTACGAATTAATTTTGGAAATGTTGTACCACCAAATGCACCACAAACCGTTGAAGCACAAGTGATACAAAGCTCTACAAGAGAATATTTATGAAAATGAATTGAATTGAAAATGCAAGATTAACAAAATAAATTCATTGCAAAATATAAAAAACGTCGTTGAAACATTTTTGGTATGGAATTGCTGAAAAATGGCATCAATTCAATGAAATGGGAATAAATCGGAAACTGTTAAAGATAGCTATAGGAGCATGTAATACCAAAATATGTCAATTTCGATTTTCTATCTCATGTAATAGTAAGAACATGGTTATTCCATTAAAAAACTGAGTTTTTAGACTTTGAAGTTTCTTAAATTTGGATCTCCATAGGTGCGGTTGTACGCAACTTAACCTTTTTTTAAGTACCCTAAAAGAAAACCCTATTCATTCTCTATGCACTGATAAAAATGGCTTACTATGACTATAACCGTTTTCAAGTAATCAATTATCAAGGTACCATCTGAATCCGCCATGTTTTTTCATAAAGTCAAAATAACTTAAAAACCATAAATGGCAGATATTGACATGTGTATCAAAAGAACTGAAACTTCACGTAGAATCCAAAAATGCAATAAAAAAATAGGGGTTGCCATTTAAAATAACGAAATTACTATCTACTTCCGGTGTTTCCAGAAGTGCGGCCATTTTGAAAATATTTTACATCTATTCGGCCTTCAGAGTAGCTGCTAAGTAGAAATTTTCAAAAACCTACCTATTTTACTTTCCCAGAAACGTTTAACAAAAGCTCCCAAAAAAACACCCTGTATATCTGTACCACAGAGGTAAACTGTACTAAGTGCATTTTTCCCCAAAAATTACTTTTGTGTACTAAGTCACATAAGTTTTGTTGTTCTACACGAAATTTATGGATTTAGTATTGTTTGATGATAAACAACAGAGTTAGCGAGTTTTAAACAGTACTAAGTGGCAGTAACATGGCGAGGTAAACTGTAATAAGTGGACTTAGTATCAATAGTTGTATTGTTTTTATGGACTTAGTACATTATAAGGAATATGTTTCAGGTTTTTTAGCGCATTTTTTAAGAATAAAAAAAATGTGCTATTGTTTGCGTTTTGTCCGTCTGTCCGTCCGTCCGTCCGGACCAACTTCTGCCGTTTCGAACTACTTCTAGAGTCCAGGAATTCTCGCAGTAGGTAGCCATATACCTTGAACGTGTTTCAAATGGCCATCAAATTTCGCTGTCTTAAAGGCCCCCTCCCCCCCTTCAATTATTTCCTGAGATGGGAGTGGAACTGGTTTTATCCTTCATGGTGCCCTAATGACAGGTCTCAACGAAAGGAATTAATTTCTATCAACCATAGTCCTCCTCCTCGACTTCTTATCGTGTTCTCTTATATCTCCAGGACGGATTATCGGAAGAGGAGACTCACAAAGGGCGATTGGAACATCTGCAAGAAATATATCCATTGGTGATGTCAAAACTGTAAGAGCGAATATCTCGAAAACGGTTTGTCGGAGGAACGTACTCTTAAAGGCAAAATCTGCAGAATGGAGCCTCGGAGAATTTTGAATGTATGCCAGGCCGTCTTTAAATGTTTGTGTGTAAAGAGCCTCCGCCCCTTATAACCTAAACATTTACTAAGCTATATCGGTTAAACAAAAATGTGCTTTATCTGCAAAAGGGCTGTGCACAATTTATACTTGTTTATTTATTATTTTTATAATATTCCATTTATGGCTGTCATTTTTCAATTTAAGTGTCTTATTAAAAATTTGCTTTAATCCTCAAAAAATTTATACTTGTTTCTTATCGTTTATGGAGGAAATTTTCTACAAAATGATCACCATTTCTTTCTTACAACAACGAAGAAGATGAATAGTTGAACAGTGTTGATATATTTCTTAATTTCAATAATAGTATTTTACATTATTAGCCAGGTAAGTGAATTTTTACTGGCGATAGGAGAAGTTGACTGGCGAGCCGTCAGGCGAGCCTGTCATCTCCTAGAGCCAGTAAAAACTATTACCTGGCGTATAATGTACAATATTTTATTTGTTACTCATTTGTAAACGTAAATAATTAGTTCTTAAATTAATCTTGAAGAAATGTCTAAAATATCATGTTATCCATGTAACAGAGACTTCGCATTAATTCTGGCCAATGAAATTACTAGATTACTAACTTGTAAAATTTTTACAGGTCTGCTGTCAGTTTTACAAGTCTGCTGTCAGTTTTACAGGTCTGCTGTCAGTTTTACAAGTCAGTAGCGTTTAAACATGACGTTTACCCGTTTGCGTTTTGTCTTGTTAATCAACGTTTACAACTGAGTAACAAATAAAATTATTGAATTATAAGTTGCTTATCAAATAAATACATTTTTTTCTAATCTGAGCTGTGATTTCATACAGGAAAAAAATTCTCCACGCCCTGTACATGATGAAACATGCTTGCTTCCCCTTTTCGAGCAGAAATGTATTAAAATTGGTTTACACATAACAATAATAAGTCCATCATTCGAAACAATTCATAAGAGGTAAACAGTACTAAGTCCCGTAAAACAAAAATTTTTGATAAAATTTCAAAAATTCGATCGTACATATGTAAACTTACTAGTTATAAGTAACGTTTCCGATCATATTTACCATGATAGTGCTGTGATGCAACAGAATGCTGGGTAACCCAATCGCAAAATAAGGACGTAGGTATATAATATAGATATTTCAACAGTTACCATCACACTTCTATCGATAAAACACAAATATAAACACACCATTAACTCCTCACGTCAATTACCATCACAAAATTATAACACGCAGTACATACCATCAAAACCGAGATTAAAATTAATTACGATCTATTAAGGAGTTTTTCACATAATTATGAATATCTTTTTTTTGTGTTTGTAGGTATAACAAATATGGAAAGGTCTACAAGGGTCTCTAAAAACCAAATGAATGAAGACCAATCCGAATCAGAAGGATACAAAAAAATAACCAACTGTGCGTGGATATTTCTCTTTGTACTCGTACCGATATTAATCTACTTCATACGAGTATACCGGCAATTAAGTAAGTCGTTACATTCATATTATAGTTGCGCCCGTGAAGTTAGCCGCGAAATATTTTCGGCTTGAAAATGAACCAAAACTTCTCTCCATTGTACGTTTACTCCTCCCGTTTTGGGGAAATCTGGTTCTTAGAAATCGCGCATAGGTGAATAAAATCGATTTAAATACATAATATTAATATTAATTGTTATGATCTAGTTAAATAATTTTTTTGGTATAGAAAAAAAAATTTAAATACTTTAAATATTGCCCTATCACTGTGGACTTAAACGCAACCTGGGATAAATTTGAAAATTTAAATGGCGCACCTTGTATATTTTTACATTTTTGGATTCTACGAAGCATTCTACAAATGATACGTTGTTTTCGATAATTTATACAAGGTATCTCAAGCAAAGAATAATTTACCAATGTATCAGCCTGTGTGAAAAATTGAAAAAAAAAATTTAACTTTTTCATTAAACCGACATTTAAAAAATATATAAAGGGTACTTCAAAATACCCGCATTGTGATCCTATTTGAAAGGATTGACTCAACGGTATAAAACTATTTTTGATAATTTCAATCAATCAATCTCTAGTATTCAATGAAAAACGATTCTGGCCCGTTCATGGTCATCTAGATTAAAAATAGAATTTAATTGATTTTTACTTATAATTCTGCCAAAATGAAGCGGCGAGTTTTAGATTGGTTTATACGCGGTAGGTATAATTTATGGTACCGAGTTTGGACTATTCCGTATGCTCTAATATCCCAAATAAACAAACAAATCGGTATAGTCTGTTATTGGAATGATTTCGAGAAGTTTGTGTGGCATTGATGATTTTGGAAACTGATTTTTCGAGGAAGTTCATTCAGTGGCAAACATGTAACAAGTATACGAGTAATAAAATTATTATGTATGATGATAAGTATTACCATCCTGGTGGTGGAGTATTACATTAGTCAATTAGAAAGCCTATACCAGTATTTACGAAATTATTCTAATTAATTTTTTCAAAATTTGCTTTTGTGTAGTTTTCTTTTTTTTTGTACATAATAACGTTTTACTGTAGACAGTGTAGGCGCCGCGGATAATCCACAAAGCGAATAAATTTAACAAATATAGCAAAAGAGCTCCTGGGTATGGCTATAGCATGTGCAAAACCAAATTTTAAACCTGATGTTTTGCTTTTATTTATAGTGTATATATGTATGAAATTTCATTTGATTGCCTCCATAAATAAGAAAGTAGGCACTGCGCATGCGCAAAACCAAATTTTGAAACTGGTGTTAAATTTGCTTTTATTCCAAGTAGCTAATGTATCAAATTTCATTTAAATACCTTCATAAATAAGAAAGTTTGCAATTCGGTCTGTAAATGGTCGAAATGCACAAATGGCACTGTGAATGTTGATCGATTAGGCTCAACTTTTGGAATTGTGTTTTATATGACTAAATCTATGCGCATATTGAATTTCATGCAATTCGGTTCATAACTAACGGAGATGTCAAAAGGGCCTTCCTTATTTTTTGGGCTACATTGCCAATTCACGAACTCCGATCTACAAATTTTATAAAGAATCCACCTGCAAAATTTCATCGTAATCGGCCCATTCGTTTATGAGTACGGACGGACGGGCGGACATCGCAAAATTATAAACTCGCTAGGAGCTCGTTAATAAACCGCTCGCGGATAATCGAGTTTACTATGTAGATGTACCAGTATTATTTTGTTCACATAGAACACTAAATTGCAACTATTGGTCTAGTATATGAAATCTCATTGACTAGACTTGCTCATCTGCACTCTATTCGCTTTCTCTGTCTTATTTACAATATTTTTGTTTCAGGAGTAAGAAACTCCAAAAAAGCCGAAGAACTCCAGCGATTGTCTGAAGATCCACCCGTCTGGCTTGTCTAAAATAACTTGTTTGAAGCTTTCGTTTTTCCAGTTTGGGTTTTCAATGTTTGAATTCAAACATTGAAAACCCAAACTGGAAAAACGAAAGCTTCAAACAAGAAACAAAATAACAATGAAAAATAATTTATTTTTTATAGTTATTGTTGTTTCTTGTCCTAATGAATCGCCTTACAAAAGTGAGCGAAACGTTGACTTTTCGTTCAACATTAACACGGTCCTATCCTGGATCGCCCGCACATTAATTTTTAAATATTTAGCTTCTTTTTTGGTGAAAATTTGGAAATGTTTTATTTATCATAATATGTACCCCTCATGTGTTGTTTTCTATTCGATGTAACCATTGCACGTATTCAGGAACGTTCAGCCTTTCATACCATGAATGTATCTGCTGCCACCCTTTATCTGCGTTTGACCAACTTTAGTCTATATCTATCCCGTTATCCCATAGAAACATTCAAATTAAATTTTTGTATTCACTGTCACTGTCACTTATAGTACTTAGTATCGTAAGAGAATTGGTTTACCATAATTTTATTGTAATCAGTATGTAATCACAATGCAGGTTTAAGTAGAGGTACATACAATAAATTAAACATTTATGTATAGGAGAAACATTATTGAATACCATGTGGTTTGGGATTTGTACGAGTAGGTACTACCATTGTATGCTTGTACACTTATACACCTTAGTACTACACACGAGATTTAAAAGGAAGTTTAGCAGTTACTATAACGTTAAGATAAAATTGACGTAAAAAGCCCGGAAAAAATATATAATAAGTAGGTACAGCTTAAATTACGCGTGTCAATTTTGTTTTCAATTTTAAGTAGTTAAATTGAAATAATGATTCAAGATCATTAAGTTTTATTTGGCACCGTTCCATTTTTCAACTTATTTGTAAATTTTCTAGAATATTCGTTTGATGAAGCTTTCCATTATTTATAAGTGTATTATTAGATTTAATAAAAAACGAGTTACCTCACAGTGTTTGCTAATATATAATAGTTATTTATGTATTAAGGGCATAATAGTGATGTTTATATTCTCGAGGGCGACAAGTTAAAAAGCTCGAGGGCCTATGGCCCGAGAGCTTTTTAGTCGCCCGAGAGTATACCTAATCATTAGTTTATGCCCGTGGTACATACAAAATTTTATGTTTTACAAATAGTTTTCTTCGTCAAAGTAAATATTCGTTTACAAAATAATTCATTGTGTTTGATTAAGTATGCGTGGTTCGAATTTGTTAATGTCATTGAAACCATCCAAACGTCAAACGTAATTTTAAATAATTCACTTCATCGTGAATGAGCAAGAAGTTCCAGAAACTATACGGAATAAGGCCAATCTTGTGATTTAGTATTGACAATTAATAATTGACGTTTCTAATTTTCAATGACCTGCAAGTATTTGTTAGTTTAGTCATTAAGTATGAATGAGTTACTATGGTGATACTTAATGCCCTAGGGCATAAAGTGGTACTTTATGCCCGCGTATCACAGATATAAAATGTGCTATGATAGGTTAGTAAGACATACAAATTTATTTGTATTTCTAGAATACTTATAAAACTGACTCTTATTTGTTTCATATAGCGGCTATATGCAAAATAACAAGACTAAGGAATCAATTTTTCCTACATCACCATTGCATTATCAATAGTTTTTTTTCAGTACACTTTGCAACCCCCCCCCCCCCAAACATTGAATGGTATCCAATGTATGAGCTATTTAGGAGCTTTTCGTATCGCAAGCATACAATTTTAGAGCTCGCTTAAATCACTATGTCATCTCTAAAATTTTAAGCTTGCGATATGAAAAGCTTCTAATAGGATACCATTCTTAAATTGATTCGCAATGGGGGGGGGGGGGCTACGTCCAGCGAGGTCATTTTGCACGTATCACTGAAATTTTATTGAATATCAACTTAAAATTACAAACTCTGATAAATATTGATGACATCCGCAAAATCAAACAGCCTTACAAATTCTTGACTACCAAGAACATTTCCACCTGCATATTGTGGAAAATGTAACGGAGTACGGTAATCTCCCAATACAGGATCTCAACAGGAATGCGAAAACAAATTTTGATCGGTCTTTTTTAGCACGAAAATATCAAACAAAAATTAGTTTTTGAAAATTTGAATAGAAAATTCTAACTGTAATTCTGGACTGGATAATAATCGTGTAACAAATATAGCAAACGTGAACCTGGGTCACTGGATCATTTAATCAGTTATTCCTTGGGCGCTGATAAACATAATACTGAAAACATCAGAATTGGAAAATCCGAAACCGTTCGAGAGTCATGTACACAAACGTACGAAGAGAAAGTTCAAAATCATGAACTCGCTTAGTAAGTGGCACGAATTTGATGAAATTTGTTAAGCATGTACATTGTACAATCTTTATGTATATAGAAATAAAATGTATGTACAACTTACAGAAGTTTGAAGACCTCGTCGAAGTAAGTAAGCATAATGTAATACCTTCGTTCTTGTGGAATACGTCACAATTTTAAAGCTCGGGTTCCTCCTTACATGGCCAGCTCCGAACTGCACACCAAATTAGCTTCAGTTTCTTCAAAATCCCTTGTCGCAACCCATATATAGGGGCACATTTCAGACGATGTGGTGGGACGTTATTTACTTCGACGAGGTCTTCATATAATTAAGGTCGAACATTACTTGGGTAAGTTAGTTTGACCTTAATGATTATATTCGACCTCGTATTGTAGGTGTTTAAACACGTTACGAGAATTCTGAATTTTATTTGGGTACAAATTTCTATCTCGTGGAAGGCGCATCTGAAAACCTTCCAGAGACGGGTGTGTTCGCTTCGAGGGCTAAATATGTTTCTCTTTCGAACATATTTTAAATGCCCGAAAAATGGACACTAAGTAGCATCATAGTGTAAGAATAGAATAGTGAAACAACCTTACGGAAAAAAAAGGTAACCGATTTGGACATCGAGATTTTTTAGTTCTGGACGCGACAATCTGAAAGGGGGGCGCAGAAGTCGTGGATTTTAAAAGCCGTTCGTCTCGCGACAGTAATCACTTGGCTGCTACGCACATGCGTATTACACCTTCCCATTAATGCACAAAACTTTAAATTTAAATTTAGAAATGTGAATAAAGAAAAACCGTTCTGCGCATGTGCGTAGCAGCCAAGTGATTACTGTCGCGAGCCGTTCTTTTTAAAAGTAACCGATGTTACAAACTCGTAACAATAAATTGCCACTTGACGCTACACTAGAATAGATGGCGCGGTTTGCAAAGCGAATTTACAGAAGGAATATTATACCTACTTTTATCTCGTTTTTATGCGTAAGAAAAATAAAGAGGTAAATTAATCCATGCAAACATCCCGACAATAATGCTCCTTTGTTTTATTACATTCTCGAGTACGTCAACTGAGTCATCACATTCTACACTTCTACAGACCTCGTTTAAATAACCTACCTTAATATTTCAAATGTTACGTGATGAACGCACGCGCAAAAAAATTCATTCCTGTATTATTTAATTTACAATGTGCCAACAATTTAATAGCTGTAGACTCTTCTGACTGAACTTGACAATTTTATTTCGAATTATGGATCTGGATGCCTCTCACAAAGTTCAAACAAAACCTTAGAACGAGTTTTTTGAGGAGGGTCTTTTTTAGGCGGTTCCAGGCAGCGGCGGTTTTTAGGGGGGGGCGACAGGGGCGATCCCCCCCCAAACGTACTGCTCAATTGTTTTTTTATTTCATTAGGTTTACATAATAATCGAATTAAATAGACCTAACCACAAACCATCTGACGGAAAAGTAAAATTGAATAAAATAAATATTGAGAATAAAGAAATATTGACTTGAATATTTTGTAACATATTGTAAACTTTTTTTGTCTCAAAATATATTTTTATTTACCTAATTCAGTTTTACCGCTTTAGCACTTTCATTATGGCCTCTCGTATTTTTTCTGTCCGTCAGTATTCGGAAATTAATGCGGCAATAGATAGTTTAACAAAAAAACAGCTGAAATTGGGTCAAAGCTACTTAAAAAAAATTCCCGTGCACCTCTGCATCTGCAGTTCTGTAGCTTTTTTATTTTTGCCCCCCCCCCCCCCCCACCCCCGAGTAGATGTATAAAACCGCCCCTGGTTCCAGGGCGGTTCTCTTTGTGCCAAAGGTGAACTTCTTCTGAATATCATCACTAATCCTACAGTCTTATTACTTAATCATTAAATTAGCTCCCTCAAAAATTAATACAGAAAGAATTGCCAAATATGAAATCACAACTTACTCCAATATTACTTATACATAGCTCAATCTTATTATACGGGGTGGTGACTTGACGAACGCACCATAGGAACTTCGATAGTAATTTTTTAATTTCCGATTATTGGCTCCCGTAATTATTTTAGAAATAAAGTCTATTTAGGGGTCTTGTAGAGAAAAAAATTGTACCATGGCACCACTGATTTGCTTAAAAGTGCCAGTTTTTAGTTATCCCATTTCTTGGTTTTAAAGTTCAAAAAATTAAAAGCCATAGTATGCATGGATTCGTAATTTCTCTACAAAAAACCTAAATAGACTTTATCTCTAAAATAATTAGGGAAGGCAATAATCAGAAATGAAGAAATTACTATTGAATTTCCTATGGTGCGTTGTTCAAGTCACCATCCCGGTATATGCCTGCGATCCTGCACTCTGCTCAGAACAAAACTACCGAAAAAGTTCTTAAAATAGCCATTTTAAAGATAGTTGCAAATCTTTATCACAATAAACTTTAGTGCCATTGAAGGGACACCCCACATTTTACACAGAACTTAAATTCTACGTGAACTATACGTCTCTACATAAGGATTTTTTTCGTATTCCTCAGTTTCAAAAGCAAAAATGTTGCATAGTTTTCTTATTATTTATATGTTCCCGACCTTACAAATTCGGAAAACTGCGGGAAAACCTAATTCGGAGTAGCCGCCAGAATACTCGAAACTGATCTAAGGAAATTCTTACCTCGGACCAGGTTCGAACACCCAACCTCCGCCTGTATAAGCCTAACGCTCTACCACTGAGCAAAGGAAAAGACAAGT